ATGGATCGGATAGGAATTGGCGTACAGAGAAAATAACTGTTGTTCCGGATCGGAGCCGTTCCAGATGTAGGGTGGTCATATTCTGAATCCCCAAAAAGAGGACACTACTACGCAGGGCGGAGTCGCACATAGTAAATTTTGGGGGGTTTACGGGTCAGGTTGAGTGTTTTTTATGTGCTTCTAACTCATTTTAGTCAACGCTATACTAACTCAAAACCTCCATACAAAACCCCGGACATTTGAAAGAGTTTAAAGATTCCCCTCGGCAAGGTTGGACAGCCCCCCAAAAAGAGGACATGTCCGGGGTAAAAGAGGACTCATGGTCACCCTACATTAGCTTTCCATAGACACCAGTTTTATATATCTTTGTTTGTCTGTAGTGAGTGATAGGATTATAAGATTAACAACTCTGTCTGACAATTCAGAAGGAAGGGAGTGTTTTTGGCCCATAAGAGACAGAGGTGAAAATTTGAAGACTTTTCTCTCAAGGGAAACAAAGGAGGCTTGAGTTTCCGCTTTATATCAAATGGAAAGTTTGAAGGTTTTCCTTTGTGTTGTGTCAAAATGTGGAGATATTATAAAATAAGTAGAATTTGAACTTGGATTTTATGGTGCAAGTGATTAAAAAAGATAACTTTGATAACTTTGGCAAAGGCTGCTAAGAGTTCAAGTCAGAGAAGCAAAAAGAGGAGATTCACTGATACTGAAGTTAGACTATGCAAGCCTCATGTGTAATTGATATAACTTTTTTGCATTTTTTAATATATTTTTTTACTTACCTAGGGGGAAATTTTCATCTCCCATGAAGACACGAGGCATGGCCCCCAGGTAGTCAGTACCAAGGAGAGAAGCACCTTATGGGAGATCCAGCTTCTCTACCCACAGGGGCTCTCAAGGGTCAGTATTTTCTGACTGTGGGAGCTCTATAGAATTTATTTCTGTCTGTAGGTGTAAAATATTTCTACCCTTTTTTTCCCAGTGAAATCCGCACCAGCACCAATCCACAGGTGGTGGATTTACCAACGGTTTTCAGAGCTGCTCCAGCTGCATACAGATGTGTGTAGATAGCTCTGCTGCAGTACTTTAATCAACAAATCTGTGTGGCCCTCATTCCTCCACCCTGCAGAATACCTACAGGCTGAGCTTCTGGTTCTATATAACACACTTGCATGCGTGGACATGTGTGCACAGACACACACTGAAAATGTCCTTTAACACATCAAAGGACTCCTGCTGTATGTTTGACTGCTGCTTGCTGAGGCTGACTGATTGAAAATAACATTTATTTTACCTTTCTCTGCTCGCTGCTGCTACTGCTGCATAGCAGATGCACAAACACACCCACAAATGCAGTTCTTTAACATTTGTGGTGTCAACAGTGTCTAAAAAAATCAAAACTCTAGAGTTCAAATTTGTTACCTGTGACCTACTTATTCTGAACCGAAGCACCAAGGAGGCTTGAGTCCTTTTTAAAAGGATTTTTTGGGGCAATTTTTGCCCTTTATTGACAGGACAGGGTGAACTGTAGGGAGACAGAGAGGGGGGAGGACATGCAGCACATGGTCCGGGCCAGACTCAAACTCGCAACCGCCACAGGGACTTATCTTGATATAAAATAAAAGGAAAAGTCATTTTCATGACGTGTATACATAAAAAAAACAAACAACACAAAAGCCTAATTTCATCACATCTTTGTTGTTTTACTTTAGTGTTTGTTTAACTGACTGACGGAGCTTAACTATAGCTAATATGTACTAAATATAATATTAAAATAAAATCTAAACCAATAAAATGTCCACTAATACAACTAAACCCAAAAGTTAAACTTAAAGGGATATTCCGGCGTAATTTTAACTTACGGGCAAGCGCATCGTCACACTCCGTGGGGGAACCCTGACGAGTCAATCACTGAGTGCAGTGAAGTGCAAAATGATTATTATAATGATTCTTCCTTAATGGAAACTATCCGCTGCACTCGGTGATCAACTCGTCAGGGCACCCCACAAACAAGCGGCTGCTGGAGGCGAGTGGGTGAGTTGTGTTTGGTCTCTATGCTAAAGAAACCAGGCAAAGCTAAAAAGATGTTTGATGGCTCATACTATGGCTGGGACTCTATATGTACTGTTGATGAAGTTGGGTCTTGTTCTGAGCATTATTTGTGGCTATAGAGTGGCCTTTTGCTTGAGGTTTGGGTGTGGAGACATATGCCGCTGTGTATTGCTATAATTCAGTCGTTACTAAAGTTGATAAAACTAGTGAGGCAAGCAGTCTGCAACATTCATCTCATGAGGGAATGTCTAACTTGATGTTACAGTGTGTTTGACCCTAACTTAATTTTACGCTGGAATATCCCTTTAAAAAGTTTCCCCTGCACCTCTAAAACAGAGGCATTAAGCATATAACATCGGAGTTCCTGCCTCATGACAGAATGATAGCTGGTTTTCTTGTCATGTAGAAACCCACCAGAGTCTAAATCTATGGGGTAAGTAGCAGAGCTCCAAAGTGTAAACAGTCTGAGTTCACAATCAATAGCTCAAAAGGTGACTTATTGGAGATCCAAGAGTCCTTTTCTCCTTTTTTTTTTCCTTTTCACCGGGACAGGCTGTCTCCCCTCTCTTGTTCACTTTTACCAGCCAGTTCTCCTTCCCTCGAGGGCTGGCTTCTGCTCAATTTGCCCTGACCTTTTCTGCCTGTAAACAGCCAGACGGCAAGGTGACTGACTGGCTGTCTGACTGATTCTAAATGGAACCGAATGACACCAGCAGAGAGGGTGTGTGTGTGTGTGTGTGTGTGTAGGGACCGATCAGAGGAAGTGGGGGGAGACTACACAGAGACTCACAAACAAGAGAATCAAAATTATAGTTGCATTAAAAAGAAGGGGAGTCTCAGCCTCAGTGAGAAGTCTGCGGGAAATCACAGCATGGGCCAGAACAAGTAGAGCTGTAACTGAACCTCACTGACCCAGCATGCAGACAGAACATTTGAATGTGTTCAAAGCCAGAGAGAGGGAGAGAAAGAGCAGAGGAGTGAAAGACATCTAATATAGATGTAAACACACAGGTTCAAGCAATCTTATTAGGCAGCCTGCGTTTGCATGAAGAAAGTAATCCATTGATTGTGTTTTACACCAAGGAAAATATTTATTTCCAAAAGAGTAACCTGACCGTTTTTTTTTTTTTTTTTTAACTAGTGATTCATATGGTAAGTGGAAATAGTATAATTTTAACTGGTATTGGTTAACAGGATCCCTGTGGTATTAAAAAGTCTTCAATTTAAATGTGGAGTCAAAGGCCATAAATTCTTTCAGACTTACTGAAAAATTTGCTCGAATTGGAAAATTGTCACACTCAAACCAAAGATTGCAAAAACAGACTATCGACACAGTTTAAACTGTTTAGCTGTCGGTTACATTTGCAGACTGTGATCCTGAGGTGGAAGCCATCCTATGCAAAACTTGACCATGTCATTAAAGAACCAGATATTCTAACCAGCACAGCTTTTCTCACCTTTGTGGTAGTGAGATTAGAAGATTAGGAAACCAATGCCTTTGTTTTCAACAATTCTACCCAGAAAATCAGAATTTTTTACACATATCTGCACAAGACTAGACTAGGCAGTGTTTCCCCTAGAATTTTATTCAGCAGCAGTGAGGATGCAATGTTAACCCGTATTTTTGCGCATGAAAATAGTTTTAAATTAAATGACCTTGGGATCCTTATAGACAGGATTATACAGGTGTGTATTTTTTCTCTATTTACAGCTTTTGACAGTTATCTGAAGAAAAAAATTATATTGTCACAACACAGACGTTTACTCACACCTGTCATTTATTCACAAACCAGGGTATTTAATTACACAGCCTACATCCGCTCCAGAGCTCTTAGATTGTTGAACTCACTATACAGGTGTGTATTTGTTTCTCTTTTTACAGTTATCTAAAGAAAAACAATATATTGTCACAACGCAGACATTTACTCACACCTGTCATTTATTCACAAACCAGGGTATTTAATTACACAGCCTACATCCACTCCAGAGCTCTTAGACAGTTAAACTCACTAGTGGGGGCACCATTGATGCTCACACGCATGCAAATGGTGAGATGCTCTTCTTGTAGCCTGTAACTCAGGTCAGTCTTCACCTAGAAATTTTTGCTGCTACTCCCACTCTCTTGCCGCTCAAGGAGCTACGTCGTTATGTTCACGTTACGTTACCTGCGCTACTCGCTATATAGACCATGTATATGCTTAAATGTTATGTTTCACAATGATGGATGAGGGGCAGACAGGATTTGATGCACTCGATGACTCAAAACAAGTCTAAAATAACGTTGTGTGTTGTTGTGCTCACACAGTGTGAGTAGAAATCATTAGTGGCACATTGATATTAAATTTCAGAAGGGGCGCATGTAATTCAGCAGCGGCAGTGCACCGCTGCATAATGAATCAATCAATCAATCAATCAATCAAATTTTATGTATATAGCGCCAATTCACAACAGTCGTCATCTCAAGACGCTTTTCAAGGAACAAGAGCAGGTCTGGACCACGCTCATTGTTTGATGATCAAGAACCAACCTAAGATGGGTTTTGGCCCATCTCAACTAACATGAGTTACAGTGGCGAGGAAAAACTTCCTTTTAACAGGCAGAAACCTTGGGCAGGACCAGCCTCATGCTAGACAGCCACCATGCCGCTGCTGGGTTGGGGAGGAAAGTAGAGAGAAGAGAGGAGAGGGGGAGAGGACAGGGGGAGGGAGAGAGACAACAAGATGGGGGAAAGTCGAGAGAGAATGAGTATGGAGAGGGAGGGGGAGGGAGAGAGAGTAGGGAACGAGGGTGAGAGAGAGACAGGAGGCAGCAGGAACAACAGCAACAACAACAACAGCTCATGTAATGGTGAAACAAAAAGAAGTTCAGTTTACAGGTTTAGGATATGAGTGATAATGGACAATGTTGAGTTAATTGAGTGCGATTACAGTTAGCAGGCTTAATCGTAGTCAGTTCTATTTTGTATTATTAATGTCAATAATGACAGTGAGGCTGATGTCCATGTCTGCAGTAACAGTAACAGCAACAGTCCAGAGGAATCAGAGAGAAGAAGGAGCTCAGGGCCTGTGGGGGGGGGGGGGGGTCTGCGGCAACGGTCCAGAGGAGCCAAAGAGCCAAAGAGTTGGAGGAGCTCAGGGCCCAGGGTGGATGCAGCTGGGGTCAGGCAGTTCCGCAGCAGACCTGTTTGCAGCATTAGTCCAGTGGCAGCTAAAAGACTCAGAGACACTCAGAGAGACAGAAAACTGGTCAGTGACTTATATGGGACATAAAGATCTAAAGAGGAGATAGAGACCGACTCTAGCTCAGTGTGCCAGATAGCCCGGGCAGTCTAGGCCTATAGCAGCATAACTAAGAGCTGGTTCAAATCAGCCCTGACTATAGGCTTTATCAAAGAGGAACGTTTTAAGTCTACTCTTGAAAGTTGAGAGTGTGTCTCCCCCCCGAACCTCGAGGGGTAAATTATTCCAGAGGAGAGGTGCCTGGTAGCTGAAAGCTCTTCCTCCAATACTACTTTTAGAGACATTTGGTACAACGAGCAGACCTGCAGACTGTGAGCGTAACGGTCTAGATGGAAAGTACGGTATAACTAGCTCGTTGAGATATGATGGCGCCTGGCCATTAAGCGCTTTATATGTCACAAGGAGGATTTTAAACTCAATTCTATATTTAATAGGGAGCCAGTGAAGAGAGGCTAAAACAGGAGAGATGTGCTCCCTTCTACTAGTTCTAGTCAATACCCGAGCTGCTGCATTTTGGACCAGCTGAAGAGTCCTTAATGACTTACTAGAGCAGCCTGATAGGAGAGAATTACAGTAATCCAGCCTAGAGGTAACAAAGGCATGGACTAGTTTTTCTGCATCGCTCTGAGACAATATACGTCTAATTTTTGAGATATTGCGCAGGTGGAAAAAGGCTGTCCTGGAAATTTGTTGAATGTGAGAGCTAAAAGATAAATCCTGATCAAATACAACTCCTAGATTTCGCACAGTGGGGCTGGATGCCAGGCTGATACCATCAAATGTAGCTAAATTACTAGAGAACGCCTCTCTAAGGTGTTTAGGACCGAGGACCAGAACTTCAGTTTTGTCTGAGTTGAGCATTAGAAAGTTATTGGTCATCCAGGATTTTATATCTTTGAGGCAGGCTTCTAACCTAGCAACCTGGCCTGCTTCCTCTGGCTTTATGGATAGGTATAGCTGGGTGTCATCTGCATAACAGTGGAAATTAATCGAGTACTTCCTCATAATTTTACCCAGCGGAATCATGTACAGGGTGAATAGGATTGGACCGAGCACTGACCCTTGCGGCACACCGTAGCAGACCTTGGTGTGTGCAGAGGATTCATTATTTACATTGACAAACTGGGATCGATCTGTTAGGTACGATTTGAACCAGGAGAGAGCTGATCCTGCTATGCCTATAGATTGTTCTAGTCTCTGAAGCAGGATGGAGTGGTCAATTGTGTCAAATGCTGCACTAAGATCTAACAGGACTAGAACAGAGAGAAAACCATTGTCTGAGGCCATGAGTAGGTCATTTGACACCTTTAGCAGAGCAGTCTCTGTGCTGTGATGGGTTCTAAACCCAGACTGGAAATCCTCTAATAAACCGTTGTTATGGAGAAAATCACAGAGTTGATTCGCAACAACTTTCTCTAGGATTTTAGAAATAAAAGGAAGGTTGGATATTGGTCTATAGTTAGCTAGGGAGCTTGAGTCCAGAGTAGGTTTTTTAAGGAGAGGCTTAATCAATGCAGTCTTGAAAGACTGGGGAACATATCCTGTTAATAAAGACGTGTTAATCAATTTGAGCAGGGACGTACTAATCAAAGGAAGAGTTTCCTTCAGCAATTTTGATGGAATTGGGTCTAAGAGACACGTCGATGGTTTGGCTGCTAGCACCACTGACTTTAACTCAGGAAGGTCAATAGGTACAAAATTACTAAGGTGCACCAGAGGCCTTAGGGGCTCCTCAACATTTTTAGGGTTATCTGAGAGAGAGACACTTGATGGAGTCAATAGGTTACTAATTTTACCTCTTATTTTTAAGATTTTATCATTGAAGAAGCTCAGGAAGTCGTTGCTGCTAAGGGCTAAAGGGATACATGGTTCAGTGGTGCTCTGACAGTCTGTCAGCCTGGCTACAGTGCTGAAGAGATATCTGGGGTTATTCTTATTTTCCTCAATAAGGGACGAGTAGTAGGTTGTCCGAGCATGTCGTAGGGCTTTCTTATATTTATTGAGACATTCCTGCCAGAGAAAACGAGCTTCAGCTGTTTTGGAGGAGCGCCAAATCCTTTCACATTTTCTTAATAACTGTTTCAGCTCACGGGTTTCAGCATTATACCACGGGGCTAGCCTCTCGCGTGTAAGAGTTTTTTGTCGAAGAGGGGCAACTGAGTCTAGAACTGATCGCAGTGTGCCTGAGGTATCATCAACAAACTGGTCGAGTTGCAAGGGACTGATGTTTAAATATGAGCTATCAGTGAAGTTTTTCTCAACTACAGAATTTAGAGCAGACGGAATTACCTCCTTGAACTTAGTAACAGCATTTTCAGACAACTTTCTAGTTAGCACGGTTTTGTTGTGAGGAGAGTAACCTGAAAGCACAAATTCAAAAGTTACTAGACAGTGATCAGATAATAGAGGATTTAATGAGCTGACTAACAGGGCTTCAGTTTCGAGGCCATAAGCCAGGACGAGATCGAGAGTGTGGTTAAAGCAGTGCGTAGGTCTGTGTACACACTGTGTAAACCCAATTGAATCTAGCAAGGACCGAAAAGAAATGCTTAGGCTATCATTTTCTACATCTACGTGAATATTAAAGTCACCGACGACGATGACTTTATCTGCGAGAAGGACTAATTCAGATAATGAATGTAGAGGAAACACTGCTAGGTGTATGAAAATAACCGAGGAGCCAGTTGGGAGTAGATTTGACACAGCCAGTGAAATTAGGTGAGTCAGGGAAAAGTAAAATGAAAGTAAACATGGCGTGCTCTAAAACCAGAAAATCAAACAGCAAAACAGAGCCTTGAATAAAGAACAGATTCTTTCTGTTCCTGTGGGCAGTGCTAAACCATTAGCATGTGCCTTAACACTGCAGAATCCAGTCAGTCATTCTCCCCAACAAGCCAACAGTGGTCCTGTGGAGCTTCTTAGGATTTGATCCAGGATTAAGATCTCTTCACTGATGCAGGGGAGGAAACAATTAAAGCCTAGATTTCAAATCTTTTCTTTCCCAAGCACAAAAACAGTGACAGTAAAATGAGTTCCTTTAAATTATCCTTATGTGTAAGGATTGCTCACAGTACAATATGTTTTTGTGTTTTATTCATGTTGCTTAGATACTGCTGTTCTTTTTATAGTGCTAGTAGATTGTGCTTTCTGTAAAAAAACAGTCTGTTGACTTCCTCCAGTTGTGGATACAGAAACTTGACTCCTGCAGAGTAAAAGAGTCTGAATAACACAAAAAGTTAAACATCATGATGTTCTCTACCGTGACTCAAAGAAACTCTCTCCAACTTTATCATCATTATTTTTATGAAGCAGAACCATCCTTTTATGTGGATTTATACTGTATAGTATATCATACTTACATGTCCTGTTTGGAATTGCTTAATGTCATCAATCAACAATCAACAATACAATGCGAGAACTTTATTTATCTTCAAAGGGAAATTCATTTGTCTGGAATCTCAAATAAACTCCAGATAAACCAAGTTATGATCTGACCTGCCCAGTGGTGGTAAGGGAGTGGCTCTCTAAGCTTATTTGACGTTGACATACAGCAGATCCAGGATTTTGATTTCTCTTTTAGTTAACAAATATGTAGATCCAGTCAGGTGGGAGGTGAGAGTGACATGGTTAAAGAAATATTCCGGCATAAATCATTTCCATAAAGTAATAAACATAGTAATTTTGCACTGCAGACAGAGTAGTTTTTCTGCTTAAGCGTCTCGGCCTGATTGCATTTCCATGTAGTAATAATAATAAATGTTTTTTCTTTAGCTGCGAAACTCCGCTGCAATTAGGTCACTTTCACACCAGAGCTGTTTGGTCCGCTTTAAATGGACCAGAGTTCGTTTCCTCGGATAGTCCGCTTCGTTTGGGGAGGTGTGAAAGCTCTGAACTCTAGTGCGGACCAAACAAGTGAACTCTGGTCCGCCTGAAAACATGGGTCTCGGTTCGCTTGCAAGTGAACTCTGGTTCAGTTCATATGCAGTGTGAGAGCTCACTGGACCAAACACAGGACCAAATGTACATAATGACACTTTACGCAGTGCATACGCAGTGCATCTTGGGTAGAGGAAGCATGGCATCACTTGTTGCTATGGCAACACGTGACCGCTGACATTAGCAGTTGCTAGCTAGCTTAGTTCAATTGTTTGAACATCAATGACCTATAAATTCACAATTTGGCATATTTAAACAAAATCAAATCACAACTAGCAACAGTCACAGTCCTTAAACTCTGAGCTTATATGTTGTCATGTTAGATCGTCAAAGTTAGAAAAATAATATCAATCCCTGATAAGCTACGATAGCATTATAGGAACAACTGCGTTCACTAATGTTGTAGCATTCCATAAAATAATGTGACGAAGCACAACACAAGACGGCTAGTCCACCCTTGTTTGTAATCCGTGAGGTTACATACCCCTCCTACTTTGTCCAATCGACAAGCGCTCTTTTCAACCACGTGATGCTGCTCCGAAAGTTCGGTGCGCTTTAGAAATCACAGTGTGAAAGCAGAACTGAAACAAGTGATAAATGCAACAATGTTACGACTTTGAGCTCCCCAATCGAACCAAGTCCACTTGGTCAGGTGTGAAAGCAACCTTAGTGATCGACTCCTCAGGGCTCCCCCACAAACAAGCAGCTGCTGGAGGAGAGTAAGTGAGCAGTGTTTGGTCTCTATGCTAAAAAAAAAAACAGGTAAAGCTAAAAAGATGTTTGATGGCTAGTACTATGGCTGGGACCCTATATGTACTGTTGATGAAGTTAGGTGCTGTTCTGATCATTATTTGTGGCTATAGAGTGGCTTTTGGGTTGAGGTTTGCACGTCAAGACGTAGACCGCTGAGTATTGCTATTCTGTGGTCATTGCTGAAGTTGATGTAACTAGAGAAGCAAGCAGTCAGCAACATTCATCTCATGAGGGGATGTCTAACTTGGTGTTATGGTGTGTTTTACTATAACTTAAACTTACACCAGAATATCCCTTAAAAGTCTCCTGATATTAGCACAAGTGCCTTAGGATGTTAAGTCTGTATCCTAGCAAC